GGTGTCAGGAGGGACGTGCCCGCCACTGCTGCAGATTGGACTGGCGACGTAGTATGGGCCGTCGCCAATGACCGACATGGTGACCTAACGAAGGGTCGCCGTCGAGGTTGCGTTGCCCAGGGCTGTCATCGTGATGGCATTTACCGGAGGGCTCGTCGTGCCATGGTGGAGTCATCGTGGTGCTAGTGGGGGTCGCCACATGCCACACGAAGCCCCCCAGCACTTGAACGGATCTTGCGGCAGATAGCGTTAACACCGGCTGCGCACGTGCCGCTGCTGTACGACTTTAAGTGAGCGAAATCCCGGAACACGGCCATGTCACCCTTGACGGGGCACCGACAGGCACAACACCGTTGCCGTTGCAGTTGACACCACCGACGACAGACTCGTTTCGCGATGAGCGGTCATGGTGGGAGAGGTAGTGGTGGGCGGCCGGCTTGGTGGTAGCTAGGGCAGCACGATCAGACCAGCGAGGAAGGTGGTGGTGCGCATGGTGTGGATGTAACCAAGGACAGAATGACTCGTTCGTGTACGATGAAGCCAGGTTCGATGGCTGCTCGTGCAATGAACAATCATGGAGGCGGGAGAACGCAGAGGAATTTCGAGTATGTCGTGGAGTTTCTAGAGCGGTGCATGTGGTCATGACCATTTTCCTCGGACCGCCTGCCACCTCACGTTACGATGACCTGATTTGGCGTATTCAAACTAGGTCTCGTACGTCACTGCTTCCGATGGACACAATGCAGCTCGGCCAGTTCCGTCCGATGCGTCGCCGTGCACAACGCGAGTGATTCCATGACGTTCCTCGACGGCGTACGTCGGACCTGCGCCAACCTGCTCGACCTGCCACGTGGACGGGTACAGGTTCAAGCAGCTCAGTGGGACGCCCACGTGCTCCGGCTAACTTTGCATGGCCTTCGATGGAAAGATACACCAAGAAGCGCACAAGTGGGCACTCGAAGCTTGCGATCGCCAAGTGCAGGTATTCCAACGCCGCGGCAACTGGGCGATGGAACAAGCCGCATGACGGAATGCGACGCAAGGTCGTTCACGCTGATCGACCGCCTCCCACTGTACGACCACCAAGTTTATCGTGGCAGCTTGAAACACACCCGATGGACTTGGGACCTCTCCTGTGGATCGGGTTTCGAAGACGGTGACACGCCACCATTCATCTCGTGCGGCCAGGCGCGATGGATCTAGGTGTTGGTGCTTGTTTGGATTAATATCGCACAGAACCACTACTCGAAAACATTATTCCCGTTAACTTCGGCGTCGCTGAGCCGCTGGGCCATTGCGAGCACATAAGCCTACACAAACACAGCCGTGTCAGAAGGAATTGCACGTGAAGGGTAGCTGCTGCATATCGAGCTGTTTACCTTGGACATGATCGAGTCCGGCGCGCGCTGCATGGCGTCGCTCACGGCTTTGGAAATACTAGTCTTCCGTTCGTTCTACAATACACACGTAAACATAAATATAAACTCTTTCTCCTGCGTCGTCGATGGCCTACCACAGGGGCCGTCATGGCTGTCTCTAGCGACCGCTTCAGTGTCTGCCAAAACCAAAACACGAATGAGCAATTCCAAGGTATGGAGCGGTGGTGCACGTACGGCAGGATGTGCGGCGCGGGAGTCGGTCGAAGTGGCACTTGACAGGCTGGGGCTGTGAATGTAGCCGTGCCCCCACGGATACACGACGATGTAATAGTTGTCCTGGCTGCGGAACGCTCGAACTCGACCATTCCCCACCGGTGTGCGCACGACGTCGTCTGCGTAATGGTCGTTGTGGATGTGGCTTCTTGCAAAGACGAAGCCGTGGATTGGATCCGCCATGAACGCCCGCAAGAATCGGTTGACTTTGTCCTTCAGGATCAAGCCTTCTCGTGGTGTCATCTTGCTCTTCACGTACAGCTCATGGCGAAAATCGCTTTGGAATCGATTTCGAAACTCGCCCATCGGCATGATGCGGTAGACTTCGCCGATGATCTCAACCATGCCGTGGGGTTTCCCGGATGGAATTAATGAGATCGCCTCAAGCAGCTTCAACCACGTGACGTCCGGCGGTTCGTACGCAGAGCACGAAGGATGTAGAAGTGAGTACAATATACCAGCGCCAGCCTTTACGTGAAACAGAACTGCGTTCAACGACGCATGCTTGGTGCCACGGACCTCGCGGTCGAGATTCAGTGGCGGCAGTACATCCCGCCGTGGAAGTGGAAGTACCAGCGGTTTCGGCGGTACGTGAACTTGTGGCTGGGGTGTGACAGAGTTGCTCGCAATAATGTTAGCTCCGTCCACTTGTTGCGGCGCCTGTGCCGCCAGGACGTGCGGCTGCGCAGCCCCCGAAGGTTTGCTCATGTTGATCGCGTGGGTTCAAATATCGAGTGCACATGTTCCAACTTGAACAAACTATAAGACTAAATGAAAATCTGTCATGTTCGACATATAAACTATGGAGTCGTTGAAAGATTGCAACTGCCACATCTCCAGTCGCGTGACCTGACTGAATGCAGGTCATTCCCTCACTTGACCTGCCATTGCAGCCTGATTTCATTATCCGGACCGAATAACCCTTCAAATCCGTGTCACGGAACTGTGGCACATCCAAGGATATATCCCTTTGGCGATCGATTAGAACACGAGTGTGGGCAGTCATCATTGAAGCGCCGTGATCGCCGGCAAACCTCCCGTCGCTCTCCCATTTGGCAATGCTACGCTCTGTGACCAAGTACTCCTTTCTTCGGCGCAAGGTTCCTGCCCCGTCTTCCTCCTCCCTGTGGCTGCGCATGACGCACACGGCGACGGAGGAAGGAAAGTCGACCGATCGGGTTCGCATTGTGGTTGTGGGCACCGGTTGGGCCGGGTACAAGCTTCTCGTAAAAGGGAACGAGCGCCGCGATGACATTGAGCATGCTCTGGGGAAACCAGTCGACTTTGTCGTGATCTCGGAACGCAATGTACGCACCTCGCGCAATCGTCTCATTCGTACCCACGTTTTGGCTCTTTGGTAGCACTTTTTGTACACACCGCTGTTAGCTAGCACGACCGTCGGGTACTCCAAGTTGCATTCGTTTACCGCATGCCTAACGTCTTGCCGTCGGTAGCACGCTCGAGTTCCGATCGATCACCGAGCCCGTGCGCGAGTCGTCCTTTCGCCGCGAACAAGACTTTATCATGGCCAGTGTGCAGTCCATTGATACAGACTCGAAGCAAGTGCAGTGCAAGAGCACGTTATCGGACGATCTCCGGTACAACATCAACTACGACATGTTGGTCGTGGCGTGTGGCTCCGTGCCGTCGACGTTTGGCCTCCCTGGCGTGGTTGAGCACGCGTTTTTCCTCAAGGAAGTGCACCATGCGCGTACGTGCGTCGGTTGCCTCAGGCGTACTGCAGGAGCGTAATTGTTGTTTGCAGGGGCGATTCGGCGCCGCATCCTCGAGAACTTTGAGCTCGCAACGCAGCCGGGGGTGTCGGAGGCGACACAGCGACAGCTCCTGCACTTCATTGTCGTTGGCGGCGGGCCGACTGGGATTGAGTTTTGCGCCGAGCTGTACGACTTTGTCAATGAAGACCTTACGCGGCTATATCCGCAGGTGCAGCCACGCAGCGCGTCTTCGTTGGACTTACTCGCTGTGGTGCGACCAGGTGTCGAATTTCCTCCAAGTGTCGCTGATAGATGCAGGCCAAATCCTGTCTATGTTCAACGCTTCGCTGCGAGAACGCGCCATGCGAAAGATTGAGCACCGCTCGAGCATGCACGTGATCAAGCACAACTGCAAAGAGGTGCGCCATTCGTCGGAGGATGCATCAAAATCAAGGTCGTTTTGGCCAGGTGCGAGCCGACGCAGTGGTGCTGGACACTGGCGAGGTCATTCCGTGCGGGTTGGTCGTGTGGACGGCGGGAGTCGGCCCCAACACCCTGACGAAATCGTTGCCGTGGGCCAAGTCGAAGCGCGGAAACATCCTGACCAACCAGTTTTGCCAGGTTCGTGATGCCATTCAATGGATGTCTGTGCCACAGATTCGTGACTTGGCTCTCGTGGCAGGTTCTCGGGGTGGAGCCGTCGCCGCACGACTCGAAATCCTTCCTGGGCCTCGAAAACCCGTCAGCAGTGTTTGCTATTGGCGACTGCGCCGACATTGAAGACTACCCTCTTCCGGCGACGGCGCAAAAGGCGCAAGGCCAGGCGCTGTATTTGCTCGGGCTCCTGCAAAAGGACAAACCAAGCGTCGAGCCATATCGATTCCAAAGCCTCGGTATGATGGCGTACTTGGGCTCGTACGAAGGGCTGTTCCAGGCGAAAGACGTCACGATCAACAAGCAACATCAGCCGCTCGCCAAGTTTGACGGGTGGAAGGCATGGCTGCTGTGGCGCAGCGCATACCTCACCAAGCTCGGGAGCTGGCGGCTACGGCTGCAAGTGCCTCTCGATTGGTTCAAGGCCATGGTGGTCGGCCGCGACGTTTCTCGCTTCTAGAGCTGCGCCTCCATACAAACCGCGCTAGGTTGTGCAACAACTATACATGCCGATTCTGAGCTTCTCGCAATTCTGGGACAGACCATCCATGCTCTTGGAAAGCCACGTTAGCCTCTGGCTCAGCGACGGCGGACCATCATCCACCATGGCTCGGTGTCATGAACAAAAGGCATTGGACACATTCCGGCTGAAGGTGTCGATCCGAACCGCTTCGGGGAGCAGACATCACGGCCAGAAACTTGATCGGATTCTATGACTGACCGAGTTCTATTGAGCTTTATATAGTGGTGCTGATCAACGTCAATGCTTGTCCTTGGGCTGGCACTGGAAAAAGTAGTCGTTCACTTTCACGCACTCGTCGCCAGGGCGACAAGACGCCTTTCCGTCCACCCCAGTCCCGCCACATTGGGTCCACGTGCCGAGCTGGCCAAACTTGGGAGAATCAGGAACACACTGGGAGAACCACTCGTTGACGGCGACGCAGGAGTGACCCTCCCCACAAATGGAGCTGCCGGTGTAGCCCCTTCCGTCGCATTGTCTCCATGCTTTGATGTACCCGTCATTGTTGGACGGGGGCGACACTGGTGGGCTAGTCGAATAGTCGGGAGCGTGCGAAGTCGATACCAACGGCTCTGTAGGCACCGGAACGACTGACGGCGTCGCTGGTTGGGATGTGACAATAATCGCTGGGGTCGATGGCGCCTGGGTCACCGGGGAGTCCGACGGGGCCGGCGGGTTGATGGGCGCTGCGTTGTGATCAGGACAAAAGATCACGTCAAACACTTCATCCATGGGACAGTCGTGTGTCTTGTTATTGTCGGCTGGAAACAAGTACGCGTCCGAGGCGTCCGGGCGGGTTACACGCAGCTGCTTGCAATTGGCTTGGCCCTCGTGCTTGGTTGGGACGACGAGGACTGGGATGTTGTAGCCCGAGCGCCTGGTGAACGCTTTGCAGTCTTCGAAGCTCGAGCACCAGCCAGGGCCAGGCGGGATGTTGCTGACGTCGTACCAGACTTGGTTCAGCCCATTCCCCGAGTTGATGAGGGAGTACTCGATCACTAGACATTGACGGGGATATCAGCCATGCGCACAACACAAAAGCGATACGTACAGTTGGCTTCGTTGGAAGGCGAGTGCTTGAACAGGCCATGGTCGTCCAACGACACCCCGCAGTTGTTACCGACCTGAACTCCCGGCTCAATGTCGCAAATGAACTTGCTCCCGCCACCGTGCAAGTTGATCGTGAAGCCGCACTTGTTGGCAAAGCGAAACTCGACTGCAGCCACCGCCGATGCAGCCGCCACGACAGACACAAGATTGGCAATGAACATTCTGCGTCAAATTCACAAGTGACCGGCGTGCAGCACCGGGATATAACCCGGGAGCGGTCGTGCCTGGGCCCGCGAGCTTGCCATCGAACTTGCGCGCCTGTGGCACGACCGAATATAAAAAAAATGGACGCAATTTCAATACAAATACCAAGCTCAGCTTGAATATATTTATTTTCACACTTCCCATGGCACGTTCCCAGAACGCGCTTGCACTGGCGACTCAGCCAAAACAGTATCTTTGCTGTGTCGTCGGCCTTTACATGGAAGAGATATGTGCATTGCACGAGCTCGAACACCACAGTCCTCTGCACCAACGCATGCCTTGTCGAGGAGCTCGTCACACAGAATTTTGGTACACATGAGACCTTCCTGTATGGCGAATTGCAACGCCATGCGTCTGCACTCCCCGCCTCCCGTGCCTTTGACGTTGCAGGCATGGATGATACATGTCAAATACGAATAAAATACGCAATATGTATGTTTAATATTGTTTAGAATAGTCGAAAGAAATTAAAATTGCGCTTGCTTTTGTTCCTTTGCCACCCTCGGTGAAAAATTGGGTCGTGCATCCGTTCGACACATGGGTGCGAATATGGCGTGGCGGCAGAGGAGAGCGCGCCGCCCAACAGCACCGCAGCACCGCAGGCGGTCGACATGGGAGGATGAATGGGATTTGTTAAAGCATGGCGAGGAGGGTGTTTTCCATGTCCAAGTCGCGGACGGTGAGGTGGTATGGCGGTTGGGCTTGGTCGATCATGGCTTGCACGGCGTCGACATCGAGCCCGTCCACGTTCTTACCGCACACTTGGAGGATGGCACATCCCCGGTAGACGAGGCCGCTTCGTTCGGCAGGACCAAGGCCGGCCACGAACTTCTTGACGTACACGCCGTGGTCCTGCAGGCCGATATGCTGTTAGCCATCATATACCCCAGATGGCTGCGGTACCTTGTCGCTTCGAAAGAGGATCCCCATCGGTCCTTGTGGGAATGTCACGGTGGCAATCTCTGCGCCGCCGTTGACCCCCCGACTGAACCCGACGCGATACGGTGGCGATGCCATCGCCTGCCGCAGCAAATCCATCACTTTGTCGTATGGTAAACTCGTCACGGAGGACCCGTTCACAGCGACGACTTGGTCGTCTTCGGCGATGAGCTTCGAGTTCTTGGCAAACGACGGAAGCCTCGAAAACCCTTTCACAACCACATAGCTGCTGCCGTCGGGGGCGTCGCGATGGTCCAAATCAACAAGCGGAGGCCATGACTTGAGCGACACGATGCCGTCGGGACTGGTTGAAAAGGTCAGGACGGCTGGGCGGGGCAAGCTCTTGAGCGTATTCAGCACCTACAACGCAGTGCCATCCACCACAACGTCAATGATGCCATCCAACCAACGACTTGGTATATACCGCGGAAAACTCCATCGTTCGCACATCAATACCGTTGGCGCGAAGGAGGAGGTGGCCAGGCCGAATTTGACCACTGGCTTCGCCTTGGCCAACTGCTGGGAGCGGTTCATTGCACATGGCGGTTCGATCCGGGATGAACCCTGCCACAATCACTCCGTGCTTTGCCTAGAGTTGAACAAAAATCGCCATGAGCAACTCTGCTATCCTCATTTGTTCGTCGTACCAGCGGTCGCGCCCGCAGCTTGAGACCCAACGGCCCTTCGCCGAACGACACGTCAAACGTTCGCAGCGTCCGCCGTGGCTTGATTTGAAACTCGTCGTCCGGGACCGCCGTCGCAAACCGCAACGTGAGGGGCACCGGGAGAGACTTGAGCAGCTTTTGAACTTCCTTGGACGTCAACTTTGCACACGAAAGGCCGTTGATGCCAACGATTGTCGATTGCAGCGGAATCCTGTACAATTCGTGGCGCTGGGCGTCCGTGAGGGGACTCGTCTTGATGTTGGGCAAAGTCACGCCAGACACAAGCGCCATGCGATCTCTGGTTCCTGTACACGCACCATCAACGACGGCGCGACGAGAAGTTGAGATCACGGGGTTCTACGTACGCTTGGCCAATACGATGGGCAAGTCGGTGCTGGTAAAAGTCAGGTCTTCCTCGTTGGGCATGGGCGGTAGCAGTGGCTTGGCCCCGCGCCACGCACTCGCGATGGGCAACTGATCCACCGTCACGTTGAGGAGTTGGAGAAGCATCGGCCAGTAGTCCATCATGAACGTGTTGAGCACCGTCACCAGCGACACGACGTGGTCAATCAAGCTGCCTTCAAGAGTCGACGCAATGTAGTCCTTGATCAAGTCCTTGAAAAGCGATGCTAGGATGTTGTACACGGACGAGAACCAGCTTCCGTTGATCTTCAATGTCAGGTCCTCCTTGATTTCGATTTCGATCGACGAGATCGCAAGCGTGGGCTGCCACGTGCCGTCTGCCAACGCCACCTTCTCCGCCTTCACGGACCATGCATGCCATGCTTAGCTGCAGGATATGCACCATTCGACGTACTCGAAACCCGAGCGATACACAGCCGCCCGTGACCTCGGCGTCGGCGGTCCCACCACCGTTCAGATACGGAAACCTTTTTTGGACAAACGTCCAATTCAACCGAGGGATTATGGCACTGAGATGCGTCGCCTTCATTGTCAGCACCTACGACAGCCATTCATTCGAAATCAGCTCAACGGTCACGGTCTCCATACGTCGTCGTCGGTGGCTACACCCAGCTTCACCGACACCTTCTCCTTGCGCACTTTGAATTTCGACAGGTCCAGCTGGGACAGAGAGTACTCGACGTCGTCTTTCGTGCCGCTGCCGTCGAGTTGTTCGACATGATGAACGTGGCAGTCAAACGTGTGGAGACGTACATGATCGGGTCGACTTCGATCGACGGCAGCACGGACATGAGGAAATCCAAACAACGGTCTTTCACCTATACAGCATTGAGATGCATGTGGCGCACTGTGCCGAGGCTAACAACCACCCACCTGATCGACAAATTCTTGTCGCGCGGCAGCGTCCACGGCCAGCGTCCGACCCCATTTGGCCAAGTCCTACGCGAGATTGAATTCGTAGCAGCTCATGGACACGTGGAGAGCGACGTGTCGTACGTTCACTTTGACCTTCGAGACGGCTTCTGCGACCTTTTCACGCAACATCGTGGGGTTTTCGTCCGTGACTTGGGCCAGTGCTTTTGCTTTGGCCAAGATCGTCCGGCCTTGCTTGCTCGCTTGGAACTTGGCCAACATCACCTCGCTCTCCTACACCAAAGCTCCACGATCGATCGTTCGATGTCGCAAGGATCCGACGAAGCCTGTACGTTGATAAAGACTGCAGCTTGTTGGGTCACTTGCGGCAGCAAGTTTTCGACCCGCTCCATCATTTCCAACGGGTCGATGCACGCCAGCGCCATGTCCTTGGCGGCAAAGTCGTTGATGAGCTTCTTGCCCTTGTTCTACACGTGCTGTGTCAAGTTTTTCCATTGTAGGAACGACATGCCAACGACCTTGAGCCCACGAGGAGACAAGGTTTGTTCCAGGTCGTTCAGAAACTGGTCCGGCTTCAACATTCGCATGCGTCGCTGCTGCTGCTCCACACGCGCTTGTAGCATCGTTTTAAAGTGGGCAATGAGCGCCGCTCCATCTTCGCTCTAAAGTGACGTATGACAGGGCAGCGATTCCTTGCGGCTGCGTGTCACACGTACTTTAGCGCCTGCTTGCAACTGCTTACTCAATTGCTCGGCAACTTGCCGCATTTCGATGCTACTCCCGACGCAATTTAAAATCTTCTTCGAGTGCACCGTCAGCTACACAAGGACAGCCACGAATATGGTTCCATCACGAGAACGCAGACCGCCGACGGCGTCGAACGAGGGCTCGTCCACAACGTACCTCGACGAGCTCTGCGTTGGTCGTAAACTTGGTCTCGACCCTCTTCTTGACCAACTCGGACAGTTCCATGAGCTTCTGAAGCTCGCGTTCGCCGGCCTGGCGCACCTTTGCCGCGGCGTCGTTGAACTCGGGGTTTACAAACGAACCAAGCGCCGACGTATAGTCTGCGCTGTAGTTGAACGTCGACGCGATCGAGCTGAGCGACGCAGCGTTCTTTTCACAGTACGCACGGACAGTGAGGTAGGCGTTCTCGCCGGCCGCCGACAGCGCCTGGGCTTGTTGGTACGTGATGCGACCGTTGAATTCGGCGAGGATTTGATCCGTCGACAGCGGCTTGGGGATCTTGCCCAGCAGGCGCAAATCCACGGCGCTCACGTCCGATGCCTAGTGGACTTGTCATGGAATCGTCAAAATCCAGTTTGCCAGCGAGTTACGTTGAGGAAGGCGGTCGCGTTCGAGTCAAGCAGCACGACGTAAAACCCATCTTCCCGCCTACAAGGATCGCCTGTGTGAGCTGCACATACGTAGGCGCCGTTTTAAACGAGACGTGAGCCACCGACAAACGGACGTGCATACCTGTAGTTGGTGACCACCCCTAGTCCAAACTTGGTGCGGCACCGAGTGCGAACAGCGAGGAGGACAGATTTACTCTACTGAGGCACTCTGGTTGAGCGCTAGGACTTGGAACAAAGACACATCGTGTTACACAACCTCCAGGAACTCACGCGTGCCGTCCTCGTATTCGACCTCGTACGTCTTGTCCAGGACTCGGTAGCCGACGACGACAGCAGGTCGATCGGATGGCGTCTGCACCGCCAGTCCTGGAGGAATCTCATTGCCATTCAAGGATGGTAGACGTGGCATCATCCAACAGGTCTAATGTGACTTTCGTGTCAGGAGCGCAATGAAGCAACGTCGTGGAAGCTAGACCTGGGAATACAGCACGCCGCCGATGTCCATGTCCACAATGTAAACTGGTCGGCCATTGGCGCCCCTAGTTTCATCAAGATGAGCATACATCGGCCAACAGCGCAAGTCGAACTTGATCTTCGTGCGGAAGATGCCCGTGCCAAAGCATGTCTTGACGCGATCTCCTTCCGTAAACCGGATCAAGCGCGTCAAGACTGGCGGAAGCAGCGTGCTTGGCGCTTTGCCACTTCCTCGGGGAGACATCACGGTCGGAGAGAACGTCATGTGCTTGGTGCCGGTCACTCGTGTCCAAGCCGGCGCTAGATCAGAGTAACTTCCGTCGACAAAAGTATTTTGACCGAATCAAGGGATGTAGGCACAAAAAGCCATCATATCATCGCCAGCGTTTTGCCAATCAAATCTTTTCTTTTCGTTCAATAGCTAATCAGATCGTCCGATGCATGCGTTAATCCAATAGATTTAGGATAACGTTCGGAAGATGTTCGAACGAGGAGAGCGCCAAGGCCGTTGCGAACCGGTGCCAGCCCATGGAAATGGCGTTTGGGGCTTGATGTTCGACAACTGCGCCACGCTCTGCGGGCACCTCAGTCAATGCACAATCCATCTAGCGTCGTAACCTCTGATGGCCAAGATCTGCCCTTCCTGCACAGGCGTCCTATCAAACGAAGGTACGTTAACACCTTGGACGTGCCAACACTGACTCGACGCATCCCGACGACCCCAGTTGTGGCAAATGCCGTTCAATGCGAAGCGTGCAAGTCCATCGTGTGTTGGTGGTGTGACCAAGTCATCTCAAAGGAATCCATTGCCCATCACTACACTGTCAACGTATGCTGCCGACGTCTGCACATTTCGGTCATCATGGCCATGGTAGGGCAAAGGCTGCCGCGTCGTACAACTGCCACTCTCTCCCACGTCAAAGAACTCCCGTGCACACTCGACGAAAACCACGATTGTCCTGAGTATGCGCAACTGGCCATGGATTGCAATTTGACGGTCGATCGCATCTCGTCCACGTAGATTATCTGTGGCGCGCGGTTCTCGCCCCGATTGCCATGTTTTGCGCATTTGTGTCAGCCATGTGCCGCAGCTTCACGCTGTGCCTATTCATGCGGCACGAGCCGCTAGATGAGACGAAGGAGCCACCGACGGCCGCAATGCCCGAAGTTATCAAACCTTCCCTCGGAAAGGCCGAAGTGCATCCGATTCCAGCGACCACCCACCAGCCCACCAGCACACACGTCATCCACAACACAGCGTATTCCATGTATGCCAACCTGTAGCCAACATGGGACAGCTACAAGGTAAACTTATCCACATAAACAATTGAGATATCGAGTGCACCACCCGCTGGGCTGCTTTGGCGGAGCGTGGCTGGGAAGCTTGACTTGATGGGTCTCACCACAGGTGGACCTGTCCAAATTCGCGAGGTCGACGGCGCGTGCAAGGACTTTTGTCGTTCTTCCGACTTTGGGTTGCATTGTAGCTCCTTTGCCGATGGCACCGTGTCATCGCAATATCTCTGGCACACTTTTGGCCACGGCGCAGGTCCGTTTGTTTCCACCCACCCTATGTTGATGCTAGGGATGTTAAACCGATTGCACAAGCATCGAATTAACGCCATCTCCATGCCATGCAAACCTGACAACCCACAATTTCCAGCGTCCAGCGACACCCGCGTTCACCCACGACATGGGTGAACGCGGGTCGATGGGGCTTTGCATAACCCCGGATGACGCCAAGCCAGCAGTGCAGGTCTTTTTGTATACGTACACCCTGGGTCCTGGAGAGTTGTGTGCTCTGGTGTTGGTGGTTGCAGCAGCTTCTAGCACACTCTTGAAACGTCCACTGTCGCAACAGGTCGTACGACCACCGCGCGAGTCCTAGGCCAACACCCTTGGGCATCGGCGCAATATTACCATCCCTTTAGCAACCTACTCCGCACATTCCCAGTGTTGGAGTGTGCGCTGAATGCTCGTCAGCGGTGGTCGTTCAACACTACGTGAACCCTGCCCTGCACCAAGACGCAGCGGTCGTTCCACAATATACTTGGAAACTGTATTCACAGGATTGCAATATTCCACCGCTGCATGTCGTATGGTGGCAGTAAACTGGTCGTTGCGATGCCCTGATGAAACGTTGCCGGACCGTTCGTTCATCCAAGCGGGTTCACTTCTCGATCGGTGCCACGGATGGAACAAGGAGGAGCAGTCGAAACTGTGTCGCCCACTCGCGTCGAGTGCTCTCCTGGCGAACGGCGCGTCGTGAACATGCTCTTCGCCTTGATTGGCGTCGGATACCTCTTTCCCTTCTCGGCCCTGACGCAGCCTGTGGACTACTGGACGTTCCTGTTCCCGGACTTCAACATTGAGTTCTCCATCACGTGCGTGTTCATGTACACAAATTTGGTAGCGCTGGCGTTGATTGTGTCGTTCGGATCGACCCCGTGGTTCACGGGTCGTGTCGTCGGGGGATTTGCCGGTCAGCTTGTCGTCCTTGTGTTCGTGCCAGCTGTGTACTCGTTCGTCACTGGCGAGACCGCCCACATTTGGTCCATTCTCGGTGCCACGGGGTTTGCCGCCATTGTCACGGCCTTACTCGACAGCTGCGTCATCGCTCTCGCGTCCAAGTATCCACTGCATGCGCAGGAATCGCTTCAGTTTGGCATTGGGTTGAGCACGTTGATTGGGAGCATCTACCGCGACGTGACCAAGTTGGCGTTCCCGCCGGACGCTGTCGTCGCAAGCAGTTCGTTGTACTTTTACACGGGGGCGGTCACGGTTGGGCTCTGCATTGGCGCGTACGTGTGGCTCCTGCGGCTTCCGCTGTCCAAGAAGGCAATGATATCGGGCCGTGCGGCCGCCGGCAAGACCGAGTCGCTTCCTTTGATCACAAAGCGAGACGTCCAAGAAGCATTTCCGAACCGATGGATGATCCTGCGCAAGTGCTTGTCCAACCAAGTGCAAGTATCGCTTCTGTTCATGACAACACTAGCGCTATGGCCGCCGCTCGTGACTGAAATGAAAAGCCACAACTTCCCCGCGTTGCAAGCGTCGAGGTGGTGGCCATTGATCCTTCTCACGGTGTTTTCCGTGTCCGATTGTGTTGGCCGCCTTCTCGTCCCGTACCGCTGTGGCCTGACCAAGGACACGGTGTGGAAGCCCGTGGTCGGTCGCATGCTCCTTGGCCCGTGCATCGTCCTGTCTGTCCAGGGGGTGTGCTTCACCCACGATGCGTTCTCGATCGCGTTTGTGCTCGCGCTGGGCGCGACCAACGGGTACCACGGATCGCTTGCGATTCTGTTTGTCAACGATTGCATCGACGACGACGAGAAAGCTATTGCTGGGTCGTTCACGGGGTTCTTTCTCAACTTTGGCCTCGTGATTGGGTCGACCCTTGGCCTGGCGCTATCTCAGTTTGTCCATGCTGCGTAACATAGGTATGTATGGTGGAATTTACGGGCTTGCTCAACCACCGGCATACTGCGACACGATGGACGCCATGGCGGCGGTCGTGGAGGGCGATCGCATGTGCAGAGGCCAATTGACAAGCCTCGACTCAGGATTTACGAGCAGCACGGACGAACTTTGACGTACCGACGGACTGGTTGTGTGTCGACAGCGCCCGTGCCACTGCTGAGGAGGAAGTTTTCCCAACCACTAGAGATGGGCAAGGCTTGGTCGGCCAGCCACAGGACGTATATCTTGCACAGGGATAGCGAGGATTCGTTGAAAGCTAGTCGATCGTGACGCAAATGCGTGGTTTGAGGATGCTCGTTAACTACATGTCGAACACTTTGGCCAAAGCCACGCCGACCGACGAGCCCACGATGAGCCCAACATTCAAGAAAAAACTCGACAGCATCCCCGTCGCGCTCTGCTCTTCCGGCTCGACGATCTCATTCACGACGACTATGGCGAGGGTTCCAACATACCCGGACGAGAGCCCCGCGCCGACCGTGACTGCAATCGAGATAGCGTCATGGGTAAGCACGCCCTTGGCGCAGCACACGGCGAGGGGAATGGTCAAAAGTCTCGGGACCACAAACATCCAAATCGTATTTGCGTGCATGCCACGTCGATAGCGGACGAGGTAGCGCCCCACGAGTTCACACCCGGCGTAAGTCGCAAGCAAAATTTGTGGCCACCACCCCGACGAATTCAGCGATGGAAACTGGTAGCTTGGAATGACTGACACGACGCCGGGCCATGCCGCTAGAGAGCTCGCATACGTGAGGGCCACATACAACTCCTGGCACCAAATCTTGCGTACGAGGGACAGGCGAACGATGTCCTGCTTCGCCTTGTCGAGGCAGTGCTGCGTAAGTGGGAGGCTGAGCAGAACGTAGTACGCAAGGATGCCGCACGCGACGGTGGCGGCGCCGACCATAAAGTACAACATCGTGGCTCCCACGACGGCGTCGGCGGGGAAGAACGCTTTCGTGATAATGCGGTAGCCCGACGTAACGACCATGGAGAACCCCATGCCGAGCTGCACTGACTCGATGCCGCCAGTGGGGAAGAGGTTCGCCAGGGAAAACACGGACGAGTCGAGAAATGACGTCGCGATGGAGACCACCACCGTGCTGCCCAGTACCATCGCAAGATTCTGGAACTCGGTCGTAAAGACCAAGTACGACGCGGGCAACACGGCGAGGATGACGACTTGAGTGAAAAACCCGCCGACAATACGACCCGTGTACCACTGCTTACCACCGATCCACACGATGAGGAATAGCGTCGTGACGCTCGCAATGTTGTATGCCCATGAGATTTCAAAATCCACATTGAACGCGGGAAAGAGAAGGTGCCAGTAATCGACGGGTTGCGACAGTGCGTTGTACGGAAACAGGTAGCCAAAACCGATCACCATGAAGAGGAACGATGCCTTGGGAAGGTCCGCGTCGAGCGACGCGCATTCACGGCTATTGAGCATCGGGTCGCGCTCCGTGGCCGCGCCGCGCCTTACGTCACCCATTGCAGCTGCTGCTGGAAGTGCCGGTGACATGACAGGAAAGGTCATCGGGTTTTCAAAACGCACCAATCAGAGAGCGCAAAGCCAGATTCTGGGTTCGGATTGGCTGTTGGAAGGCCATGGACGAACGCAATGGAATACAACAGAGCCATACGGATAATATCCGGATTGCATTCGCCAACACCAGTAAGCAATTCACACTAATTATGCACCTACACCTTCATGACATGGGATAAGTGGAAACACTGTATTTACGATATACGTACACTGTTGGAAGGGTAAATGAATGCAAAGGTCGAGAGGACGAAGCGAGAGCAAGGGCGACGGTAGTGGACGGTACAGTGGGCTGTGCGCCGGGAGTAGCCAGTCACTAGACAGTCAGAGATGCTTGGCAAAATTGCCCATTCTATATTTAGTGTATATCACACTAAATAAAAAAATACACTATTCAAATGTAGAAACTACACATACAAGTGGACAACTTGTGCATGGAATTGTTGCGCCATGACCCCCCAAACCCTACTGCCTTCAAGGGCTGCAGGGGTTGTGTGACGTGATCAACAAAGATCTAGCCGCCAAGTACGCCACAGCCACCCCCGCTCGTGTGGTGGTAGCGGAAGCAGCTGACGATGGGCCACAGTGAACACGACGCGTGCCTTCAAAAGTCGGGCTGGTTGGACAATTCCGCGACCGACGCCTCCCGCGGGCATCTCCTCTTCGCTGTCGTCGGCTTTTCGTACATCTTTGCCCTGGACGCCCTCTTGCAACCGGTGGACTACTGGCGCCTTCTCTTTCCAACGTTCAACGCCGAGTTTCAAATTTCCTGGGTGTACACCGGGTCGTGTGTTGCAACGCTGGTCGGGCTCTTGTGGCTCGCCACGGCGGCGCCACGCCTCGAGCGTCGAATTGTCCGCGGCTTCACTGTGTTGCTCGTGTGTATGACCATGTTGCCACTGTCGCATTTTGTGTTGGGGACGACAATGCAGCACCTGGTGATGGTGCTCGCATCAGCGGCAGCTCTGGGAGTGGCAATTGCAACAACTGACAGCAGCATGTTTGCTCTGGCGTCACTGTATCCAACGAGCGGCGCCGTCGAGCACGTGCAGCTAGGTATTGGCTTGTCCTTGCTTGTCTCGGCGCTCTATCGTGATTCGTCCAAAGCTATCTTCGAGTCGGACAAGGTCGTACCGGCCACCATGTTGTACTTTGGGATTGCGCTTGCCACGATTGGATTGGGTTTTGTGGCGTTTTTGCAGCTCGTGCAGCTGCCACGGACCCAGCAGTGCCTCAACGACCAAGTCTCGCACCCAGCCATGGCCGGCACCGCGGTTTGGCGAAAGATCTGGCGCCACGAAGCTATCGTCGCGCTGACGTACATGACAACTTACTCGGTGTACCCTGGTGTGATTACGTCCATTCCATGCTACAATGACTACCAAGACGGATGGTTGACAAGCACTGGCTGGTGGCCACTCGTTTTGATGACGTGTTACGCCGTGAGCGAGCCGTTGGGTCGGTTTTGTGTGCGGTGGCGACTTGGTTTCACGTACGAGACGGTGTGGATGCTGGCAGTGCCCCGGCTCGTGCTCGTTTTGCTCGTTGGGTGCTCTGCCAAAGGCATATGGTTCCCCCACGATGCGTTTTCGGTGGTGTTAGTGCTGACGCTTGGCTTTACCAACGGGTATGTCGGCACGCTGGCGCTAGTCGTCGTCAACGATGTCGTGGATGTGCACGAGCGAGCTTTCACCGGCATGTGCGCGACCCTGACCATCAACACGGGTATCTTTGCCGGGTCGACGCTTGGTCTCATTGCTGCTAAAGTGTTGGATTTTTAAGCAGCTACCCACGACCCAAGAGCGGCAAACCACCGAATCAACGAATGACTCGGTTAGCTCACTCGGAACCTCGTTTCCAGCGGGCTGTAAGCAAAGGACTTTTGCTGAAACCAATGAAAGTAAATACAGTACGCCCAGGACAGCTTTCCGCTTGCCAGTCCTCGTGCATGGATGCCACCTCGATGCAATTGCGAAGTAGAGAGGTTGAAAAGGTCTTTGCGAGATCTTTGGGGCGGCACATCCTGTTGGACCTCAGACACGGACGAATTGCTCCGTGGTGCCTCAAGTGATACTTTCATACGCGCCGACTTCTTTTCAGATTTTGTAGCTTGGCAGTACGAGGAACGTCGTCGACTGTCATGTCGAACTTGCGCCGCATTGTCGCACCCGCCGACGTGGTGGGTGGATCTCGTGTGCATAAAGTGCAAACCGACTTGTTGCAAGTCGGTCGCTGCTCCGCACGGCTCTGGAGGTTGTCACGACGACGTGAAAATCCTGTAAACGTCCGACGTTTGAGTGAATTCAGCAGTTCTCGAAGCGCTAGACAGGTGTGGACCAAGGCACGGTGAAAAGTGCTCGCTACAATGTACTCTGCTGCAGTCATGCCGCGTCGACTTTTCAAGACAGCATTCACCAAGCGAATGCATTCTATCTAGGGATAAGCACGCCATGGACAGTCATGCCGGCAACTGCATCGCCGTGGCGTCATGGGGGGTAGTAGCACCCCCGACTGGACGGAGCTCGTTTGTTCAGATCAAAATTTTAAAAGTGCGATGTCTTGCCATAAAACGTTGGACAAGATGCGACTACAGGCCGACGATCTTGGATGCCACCAAACTCACGGTCGCCCCAGCCAGAATCCCAACGTTGATGCCCAAGCTGGCAAACATCCCAGTCACGCTCTGCTCATGCGCGTCGACGCAGTCGTTTGTGACCACGACGGCTAGCGTTCCAACGTACCCGTTGGACCAGCCAAGGATCATTGCGCTCGCGACGGAAATGACGTCGTGGGCGACGAAGCCTTTGGCCGCGCACGTGACGACCGGGATCAACATCAAACGGGGCAGCACGAGCTTCCAGATCGTTTGATGCGTTGCCAAGCGCCACCGGACACATGACCGCCCGAGGGCCTCGCACCCCGCAAATGTCGTCATGAGGACAAGGGGCCACCACCCCGACGCGTTGAGCGCTGGAAAGTTGTAGCTCGGGATCGACGTCAGCACGCCAGGATACAGCGCGTACGTGATGCCAAACGACAAGGCCACCATGCACTCGTTGAACCACAGCTTCGACCACATGGACAAATCCACGACTTGCGTCGCTCGCGCCTGGTCGACGTATCGCTGGGTGATCGACAGCTGGCGCAGCTTGAGAAATGCGAGAAAGCCACCGGCGACCGTCGCCACTGTTACCCCAAAGTAAAGCATCGTGGCGGGCACGACCGAGTTTGCCGTGTACAGGAACATTTTGGTCGCGACGCGGTAGAGCGCCGACACAAACAGCGCCCATCCCATGCCGACTTGCGTGGCCTCCATGGCTCCGACTGGAAACAGCGACGCCAGCGACAGGACGGTGCTGTCAACGGTCGAGATGGACACGGAGATGATGGCCGTGCTGCCGAGGACCATTGCAAGGTGCTGTTTGGTCGTGGACAAGACGAAGTGTGAGACTGGCAACGCGACCATGACCGTCAGGATTGTCGCAAATCCGCCGACGATGCGCCAGTTGTACGACGGCGATCCACCCTGCCAGAGCAACATGACCAATGTCGACACACTCGCGACGTTGTACACCCACGCGATTTCAAACTCGGCGTTGAACGAGGGAAAGAGGAGTGTCCAGTAGTCGACGGGCTGAAGCAGCGCAAAGTACGAAAAGAGGTAGGCAAAACCCATTGCTGTGAACAGTCGAAAGGCTAGGCGCTTCTCGTCGAGCTCATTGTCATGGCCACCGCCCTTTGGCAGCAACTGCGCTCGCTCCGGGTCGGCCATCAGCTCTTGACCAGCCGTCGTTTTGTACGGTAATTCGACGCAAGTGGACAGAGTACTTCGACGACCGACGTCGTACTTCGGAATGCTTCTTCGGACCACCCCATCGAATGATGGGACAGCCGCCGGGAACATTGCATCACGGGAGACCCACGACATCGTTCAGCGCGCAAAGCAGATCATGGCAAATGGGGTCCTGCTGGCCCGCATGGTGGAATTGTTGCCCAATGTGCGAGATCGAACAACATTTGGTCCACCCTGATGGTGGGCCCGCGAGGCGGCGCGACGTCGTCTGCTCCACGGAACATTGCCACTGCCTGTATTGCGACCCTTGCAGTTTGCAAAGGTTATTCGATCGACCACGAGCGGCACGGTGGAAATGTCTTCGTCATGCTTCGATCACACCATCCTCCTTTGAATCAAACACCAACGAGATCGTGAGTTCGCTCCCCAAAGGCCACGTATTCCATTCTTTCTGGATCGAAGAAGCTGCACATCCCTGACACGCCCAAGAGGCAATCGCCACGGTGTTGCCAACTCCAACGCTCGTCCCTTACCATGATGTGCTTGCATGGCATCAGGTGGGTTTCATCTCCCCGTTCTGGTCCATGTCCCTGTTGGCTCCTGGACGATGCGCTATCCCCAACTTCACCATTGCCCTGTTGTTGTGTGCACCACGCCGCAATCATCACAACTTCCCCACAGTCCTCTTGTGGAGCTACAGGCCGCGCCACTCGCTGTAATGTGACTGTGGCAGGCCACAGGTCCGAGTTGCGCTGGTTATCGTC